TAATATGTTGATAGCTCATTTATTTAATTGAATGTTCTTGAAGCCGTCAGCTTACATAAAATTAACTTAAGAATACATATTATATTATTGAATGAAATCTCTTCTTTTAGTAAAGCTACAACGCTTGAGAAGACCTATGGGCCTGCGTGGATAGCATATGGGCATTCGTTTGCAGTTGAGAGTGAACATGACCAAGCAATGGCTGCTTACTTCACAGCAGCACAGCTGATGAAAGGGTATGGCAGAGCAAGTTTCTGGTTTTTAGGCTAATGTGGAGCCAGGGGAAGGGAGCAGGAAATAGGACAAGTTAAAACATCCCAAAGTTTGCTGTTCTTAGTGAGACTCAGCTATTTTTCTAGAATAAACACTCCTCAGATTGTTATAAGCCTTTGGTTAACTTCCAAAGTTCTGAAAAGGTTTATTTTGACAATTTTTGGCAGCGTTCTTGTTGTTTTAATGGAGGAATGGATTTTTGGAGGTCCTTACTCTGCCATTTCGAAAGTACTTCCTCCAGGTAAATACTTTTAGAGGGTTCTTTGTGACCCTTCTGTAGAAGATAGAATCTTGAATCATGATTCTAGATTAGAACCAAAGCACATACCAACCAGTCAAATCAGTATTTATTGACGTCCTTAGAGCCATCTTCAAAGAAAGATTATCTTATTGTGTTTGCTTTCCTATAACCACTGGTTTGACAGTGTGAGCAGATGAAAATGTAAAAACTGATTAGTCCTTTTTGCCTAGGACTGTCTCAGAGGGTATGAAAATGGAGTATACATGACATGATTCGGAACCCTGGTGTAGAACTGATAATAACCCATAATGGGAATCCACACGAGGGAGAGCCGTTAGCTTAGAAAGTCAGAAGCAGCTTCATAAAGGGAGGTGGAAGTTGAACACAATCATGAAGGATAAATGATGCTGAATGAATAAAGAAGGAGGAGGAAGCCAGTCTAGGCCGGGGGCATGACGTTAGTCTAATGGAGGCGGACAGGCAGCGCAGAGCTGCCCTTGCACTTCAGAGGAGTTGTATTTTGGTTTTACTGTAATAAAAAATAAAGGTAAATGGGCTGCTGATAGATTTTAGAAGTGGCAGCTGATTTGTTAAAAGCCCATTTGACATTCATTAAATATCAATCAGCAAGTGAAGTGTCAGAACAGAAGTAAACGCTCTGTTTTTGACTATGTTTAAATTATTTTACAGGCAGAGTTTGAAGTTGATAGATTGATTTCTGCTGAATTATAGTCTTTGGTGTTGCATATGTAAAATCTTTCAATATTTCAGGTGTCATTTGCCAATGCTCTATATTGGATTAGAATATGGATTGACCAATAACTCGAAATTGGCTGAAAGATTCTTTGGCCAAGCTCTAAGCATTGCGCCAGAAGATCCTTTTGTTATGCACGAGGTTGGTGTGGTTGCATTTCAAAATGGAGAGTAAGTACTAAAAGGCCAAAAGCCCTCTGTTTCCTTTTTGTAACTAGAATAAAACCGCAACTACTAGAGTAGTAGTTTAACTGATCAAAATGACTAGTCAGTAGATTTTTATTTTTAAATGTGTTTTCTCTTAAGAGAAGAAGGTGGACAGTTAAAATAGAAAGTGTTATGTTGGATTTCTTTAAAAATACTAAATCCCGGGTTTTGGTCCCCTTTGATGTGGGTTCTCACAAGCTCTCACTTTCCAGGACTGGACAGTTGTTGCCAACTCTGTCCAAAGTCACTGAACCCCACAGGGTGGCCTGGAGGCACTGCATAACCCTCAGTCATCTATCTATCTCTAGGAGCTGGATTCACACATTTGAGAAAGATTTTCCACATTTTGAAACAAAAATGTTTTCTGTTTAGTTAGTTACCAGGTAATCCGAAAATTAAACTAATCAGAATGACCCAATCTGCGTTTCCTGGTAAACTGAGGTGTTACTAAAGCCTTGGATATTTATAGAATAAGTAATTCAGTGTCATACTCAAACAGAAAAATATCTGTAGGCCCTCTGCACTAAATTATACATAAATTTAAAAACAGTAAATTATACTACTATAGNAGGCTTGGTAGAAATGTAGAATATTTCTTAGTTTTGAGAAAAGGATGGTAAGATGGCAGCTTGGGAAAACATTTTGAGCGTCTGTTGATGGAGATCACCTGAGTAATCAGTTAGTTTCAAAGCTATGATGAATGAGCAGTAGAGAAGACATCTGAGTGCTCTGTGCCTGGCTGCATCAGGGAAAGAGCATTATATCTCAGAGTTGAAGTCAGTCATCTTTGCAAGGAGCAGTCACAGAAATCAGATGCTTGGTTTAAGTAGGAGGTCATCTTGCTGCTATTCAAAAAACTAACAAGCCTCCCGAGCAAGCCAAGCACACAAGTGGATAAACCCAGCCAGATCATACAATCTGGTTTGAATCAGGCCTTCAACCCTACACCTGCAAGTGGCGTATTTTAGAAATGGTTATCTCCTAGGAGCAGCCCCCCAAAACTCAAGAGTAGACACGAAACACCTTTTTCTGTCATCAGACACTTTGACTGTAGCTCCCAAACGTCTCCTTTCCTGTGTGCCTCCGCTCGGTGCCAGGCCTCCCCTCAAGGCCCAGTGCTCCGTCCTCCGTCTATGTCCTGCTCACCCATGAAGAATTGTAGAATAGAAGATTACACTGTTTATAATTTATCTTATTTGTCACTCTCCCACTACATAAACTCTCTCTTCATATTGTCTCCCCATCAGAACTGTATTTTTGTCTTTGTAGTCTCCTAGCACATAGTACATTGCTTGGACAAGCTTAGGTATTTAGTAAATGTTTGTTGAGTAAATTAACAAGAAAGGTTAACATTATTGAAATATTCTTCATTAGCCTAATAATGAAGTTTTTATTTTATAATAGCTGGCATTATAATGGTCGGCACGTGATGGGCAAGATGCAGGCAGGTGGGCACACCAGGTTGGGCTGGTGGGTAAGAAGTTTAGATTTTATTTATGGGACACTGAGAAACCATTCAGTGACAAGGTCTGATTTATTTTCCCTGTCATTCCAATTGCTCCATACCTGATGGATTGTGGATACTGAGAGGAAAACCTGGGCCTCTGGCTAGGAGGCTGTGGCTGTAGGCCAGGGAAGGCTGCTTGAATGAGAACACAGAGTCAGCATGTATTCTGGAGGCAGAGCTGACAGGACTGAATGATGCATTGGATGTGGGCGGTAAGGACACAGAAAGATTCAAGGCCTCCAGGAGTTTGACTTGAGGAGATCAGTGGGTTATGGCATCATTACTGATATGGGGAAGACATGGGGAGAAACAGTATTGTGGGCAAATGGAGTTTCCACTGTCAAACATGTTAAATTTAAGAAGAGGTAAAAGAAGAAGCAAATTATAAATTATATACAGAACTTGCCTTCCTCCCCTTTCCCATTTTGTTCACACTTTGTTTTAAATGCCCTCATACAGGATAGCTCAGGAGAGTGGCAGGATCTTTCACTTTGGGCAGTTTTGAGACATCCCCTTGGTGGTCAGAAACACGTCTTCCAGCAGATTCCAGCTGTCCTCCTGCAGAGGAGAGACAAGTCCGGGCTACTTCCATTGTTAGCGCCTGATGTACAGTAGATGCATCTTAATTGTCTACCGAATGAAATAAATGTAACTTATTATCCACTAGCCCCGGACGAGGCTACAGAGCTTTGTTTCTGTGATTCCTGTTTCTGCCCGTTTAGATTTGCTTAATCAGGCAACTCATGGCAAATCGCTTCTTACTTTTCTTAGATTTTGGCCTTCAATGGATTCTTATGATCAAGAGTAATCAAGCAGGGTTAAATGGAAATATTAATTCACTCTGAAGTTACAGGTTAGTGCAGTGGCATATCAGGGTCTTTAGAGCAGACAGACCTGGGCTCTCATCCCAGCTCTAAGTCCTATCAATTATGTGGCCTCATCCTGAGCCTCAGTTTCCCTGTTTCCTCTTGCGTTGTTTTGATAGTGCTTAGTGTGCAGCGGCTATCTGTAAGTGATAACAGTTACACTGTTGCTTAAATTAGTATTACATCATACGGTCATGTGTCCTGTATTTAATAAATATACACTTTTCCGGTTTGTAAAGCTCTTTCTTATACAAGGTCTCATTTTCCCTTCACATCGATATTTTTTGGGTAACATGGCAAGTGTTTTTTTGGGAGAAGAGGGAAGGCAGCTGGGGTTTGGTGTCAACCCCTTTACCCACCAAGTTAGGTCCCGCCTTTCCTTCGCAGAATTTCCATGGTGCAAAGCAGAGTTCTCACTAATTTGGGGTGACTTGCCCGTTACAAAGGGCCTCATCTGTGCTAATCCTAAGCCAGAGTTCATGGTTAACAAGTCACCCAGGAAGGGAGCAGGCTTTTCTTGGCCACCGTACCTGTGATGAAACCTGGGCATCTGCACTGTGTCCGCTCTTCACCATAGCCGGGAACCTGGAGCAAGAGCTTGCGTGGCAGATGCCACTTGATACGTGACGTGGAGGTGCTCAGGAGTCCTCAATTCCCAGTTAGGAACCCCTGGCAAGGGGCTGTCTTTTGTTTCTGATTCATTCCTTATCCTCAGAATTCCAGAAGTGACATGTGGGTCTTCAAGTGCATCCTGGGATTCTTCCTTCCTCTATTTAATCTGAGGTCTCAGATCCAAACCACCTTTCTCTTTCAACCTACTAGTATGTCCTCAACCACTGCCATGGGCAACACATACCTCTCAGAGCTGGTCCCTCAGGGAGGCAGCACCTAGTGGCATCCCACACCTTTGGGCACCCCACATCCTGGTCGGGTCAGATGGGTTGGACAGGTCAGTGGCATGAAAACTGAGGACCCAGTTAGAGATTGTGGAAACCTTCATTTCTGAGTAGTTGGTGCTTTTTAGATCAACAGTGCCACATGGAATCATTTTCTAAACTTTTACACCTGGTTATTCTGATTTATGGAGTGTATATTGTAAGAAATTACATTGCTCAAAACCATTGTCTGGAGAGCAGAAAAGGAAAAAAATTACAGAATATGTGTTGAATGAATGTGAATATATAAAATATGTAATGATTTAAAATATGTGCAAAAATATGAAGATATTCATAACATTTGGGAAGTTTAATGCGTTGTACTCATTTTTGCTTTTATACCATCTTTGTGAGAAATATATGACTCGCTTAAGAATCAGAAATTAAATGCCTACAATGTGTAAAATTGTCAGTACCTCTAAATTACTTGACTTGATAGTGATAGAATAAGACCCACCCACATACAATGTATGCTCATGTAAAGGTAAAATGATAATGTTATTCCCTTAATTATTTTAAAGATTACATTGAAAACAAGTATTTAAAATAAAGGAAAAATCTTATTTTTAAGTTAAATACTCCCTTATAATTTTTGTGTTTTAGCTAGAAGAACCACACCTCTTTTGGAATACATTAAAAATAGAAAGTTAGAAAAGCAGGTAGGTCTGGCCTTTTTCCTCTTGAATATCCTTCCTGTTTCTGCCACATCCATGCAGACAATTCATACACATACTTTTCTACCTATTTAGAGAATTCGCGAGGAGAAGCGAGAAGAGCGAAGGAGGAGGGAGTTAGAAAAGAAACGTTTACGGGAAGAAGAAAAAAGAAAGAGAAGGGAAGAAGAAAAATGTAAGAGAAAAGAAGCAGACAAACAAAAGAAAACTGCTGAGAAAGAAGTAAGGATTAAGGTAATTTAGAGTGACCTTACAGTGTCAGGACTGAATTGAATTGTAGGACACCAGCCTGTACTGGAGAGCTGGTTGAAAGAGACACCACACACTTGGTTTCAGCAGTATTATGAGTAAAAACAGTTCATAGGTGCATGAATTATCTGTTGGATGGATAAATGGAGACACATACTATTGCACTTCCCTATGGTTTGCCTTTATTATAAGCATATGTTACTTTTATAATTTTTAAAAAAGATCGATAGTTATCTGAAATGAAATGTTTTAATTCACAGATGCCACATAGGCAAGAATAAGAACATATATATTGGTAACATAATGCATACCGTTGATGAGAAGCAACTTTTCATCTTTTGCCTTCCATTATACAGAGGGTACCAAAAAAATCCATACGCATTTTAAGAAAGGAAAAAACTATTAAAATTGTATTACTCAATATATACCAATAACAAAAGATGAATACAAGTCTCGTGTACACATTTTTTTTGCACCCCCGGTATGTGTTCCTTAAATGAACTCACTAGGCCAAATGTACCTGTTTATAATTTTGCTTTACTGAAATTTAAAATGTTTACTTTTGTAAGTGAGAACAAAATTCTCAGAAGTAGAGATTCTGCTTATGTTCTACAAACTGACCCTACCTGTGGTACTTAAATTTCAAAGAGTAAGCAATATGGGGAACTGGGAGGAAGGGCCAAATAGAAGACGCGCCAAATTAAATGCATCATAGCAACCTGCTAAGTTTGTTTCAAGAAAGAGAATAATAAGTGTTTTTAAAATTCTAAAACTGTTCCAAAATTTATCAATATAAAGCAGCCTTTTAAAAATTGGCTTTTTTCCTTATTACGAAAGTAATACTTGCTCATTAAAAAAACAAAACACTAGAGGGCCGGCCGAGTGGCGCGATGAAGAACTGGCTTGGGACGCCAGAGAGCCCTGGTTCGGATCCCACATATGAGGGCCAGTGACACTGCCCTCTACAGCTAAGATGCTGAACAACAGCTCAACCTGGAGCTGGGCTGCCGNAGTTTTTCATATAAATGAGCTTTCTGGATAAGTGAAGTTTACTTTTTTATGTCCCCAAACTAAATTATTTTACCCATATTGGATAAAAATTTTCTAAAATGTATTATTCACTTATATTAAACAAAGTAAGCTTTATAATTATACCATTTCTGTATGGTTTCATGGGGGAGGGGATTGTAATAAAGAATAAGTTTTTGATCCTGTTGAATAGCATTCCCTGCTGAAATAGTGATATTTATCTCTACTCTCAATACTTCAAATTCTGTGTACTTTTTGGGTTCTGCTTTTGATATATTTTTTTTCTCTTTCCTCCTTTCTTGTCAGACTGTCAACAGTTGTATTCACTGCTATCAAATCTGTACACTCTTAATAGCATATTATTTTCTATACACCCCTCTCCAACCAAACACTTCCCACTCCCACTACTAATAAGTGTTTCCTTCCCCTTCACTGAGGGGTCACAATCTAGAAAAGATGGTTAAAAGAGTGACTAGGCTGAGGCCAAGAGATTTTTCCTGTGAGTGAAAGCAAGTTTAATGCTTGAGCTATTTGACATTTGTGTTGAAGACCCACCTTTTCAGTAATTTATTCAAGTGCCTTTTTTCTTGTTAAAAATTGTGTTATGTATAATACATGTAACAGAAATTTACCATCTTATATTTATAACCGTACAGCTCAGTAGTGTTAAGTATATACATTGTTGTGCAACCAATCTCCAGAACTCTTTTTTTCCTGCAAAACTGAAACTGTACTCATTACACAACAGCTCCCCGTTTCTCCCTCTCTCCAGCCCCTGGCAACCGCCTTTCTACTTTCTGTTTCTATGAATTTGACTACTCTAGGTAGACCTAATGGAAGTGTTATCATACAGTATGTGTCTTTTTGTGAGTGGCTTATTTCACTGAACCTAAAGTCCTCGAGGTTCATCATTATTGTAGCATGTGTCTTCCAGAGAAATGAGACTTACAATATCTTAGTCACCTGGTCATTCCTTATAAGACCAAAAGTAATTATTCAGTGGGTTTAGTACTGAGGTAGACTGTTTCATTTGTTGGTAAGCATATAGCATCTTGTCTTGGTGGATATTACTGTGTGTATATTCCACTTGCCACGCCCATCCTCCCCCCCCACACACATAACTACAAAATGAATTTCCAGTGACTTTCATTCTAAACTTTTTTATTTGAAGCAATCCTTACCTGAATGTAATGCATACCTTTGAAGCCCCCTCTTTTAGCCAAGTATGTCTTCAAAGTAATTTCTTTGATCTCATATAACGGATCAATAAATTAATCTTTAAAATTTAAACACTTTAAATGTGACTAAGAAACCTATGTATAGGTATTCTATGATAAACTCTTTGGATGAGAGAGATCAGGTTTATTGAAGTA